TCCTGCAATGTTGCAGGTGTAAAGATCTGCATACCTTAGCATTGATACCGTACTAGTAGATTACAGTCTATGAGGTGTAGAAGAGAAACGATGAAAATAGGACTAATCAACAGGAAAAGGCTGACAGGCCTTGGAGACATGCTCTTTATTCCTTGCTTCTGCATTGAGACAGAAGAAACTCGATGACAGCTAGCTGATGACTTGCTCACGTGTACGTTTTCTTCTTTAACATAAAGCCTTTAAATCTTCCTCAGAGCTGTGAGGGGCTTTATTAAGTAAAGAGGTATTTACGTACTGCTAAAGAACTACTAAAGGAAGCATACAAAAAATACAACCATATAAAAAGAAGGTAAGAGGGTAAGTCTTTTTAATACAAAGTCTTCTTAATACCCTGTTTGCAGCACAACCCTACACAGAAGGCAGAGCTTTTTCACACTAAAACCATTCTAGAAATTAAGCAGATGCTTCTCCAGCTACAGGCATACTTAACTCATGATACCGATTAAAGCAGGATGTAGCGGCTAAGCAGCCCGTCAAACACCTAAGAGTTCTGCTAAAAACTGAATATGCTATGAAAGCCTGTATTGGCATTCTGAGAAGGGGAGGCTCACAGTATTTTTTCTTTCAGTGAACCTTGCCTACAAGTGACATTCTTAGGCACGTGGGTAGATGGAGAGACACGCAAGTAGAATTTTTCATTTCTAGTAGGTAGAGTTTGTAAAACCTTCAGAGCTTCGCTTCACAGATGAACAAGAACGTTGAGGTATCTGAACAGGGTACAGAAAAATCAGGCCTTTTCTGTAGCGGCCAACTCCATAAGGCTGCTTGTCTCAACAACATCACTGCACTTTAGGATCCTCATGAAAGTTCCTATCTAAATATACCAAGTACTCCAACTTACAAATATCTAGTTAAGGGTCCTTCCGTTGTTGTCAGTCTGCCCCCATATACCGGTCCTATAACAGCACCTGAGTACACTAAGCGTGTTTGCTGACCTGCAGGTTTGCTGCAGTTACGCTGCAGTCTTCCGCCACCTCCTCTTCTTGTACGATATCAAATAACTGGAATTTCCCACAGCAGTCTGAACTCTCATCAGAAGCACTGCTGCCTTTTTCGGAAGCATCTTCCCTCGCTTCAGAGTCTGACCTGTCGCCATCAGCCGACGTCCTGCCATTCACGAGAGGCGCAACCGTACCGATTTGGGAAGAGCTAGGCCGACGGCTGGCTATCACGCGATAGCGGCTCTCCTTCCTGCTCGCTCGCTTGGAAGCGCGGAGATCCTGGAAGATTCGCTGAGCGCTACCTGCGGAGGGCCGCAGGCTTCGAGCCGCTTTGTCGCGGGCGATCGCTTCTTGAAGGTATTTCTGGACGGGCTCGCTCTGGGCGGGAGGAAAGAGCAGAAGGAAGGAACTTAACTCCCACCCGCGGCGAAGGCCTCCTCGACCTCCTCCTCCTCCAGAGGTGCTCCCCCCCGAGGGCCGCAGCACCACCGCGCGCGAAGACACCCAAGTAGCCCCCGCTGCTGCACTGAGCGACGCAGCCGGCGTGACCTCCCGCG